AACAGAGCACAGGGAAATAGTGTAGAAAATGAGACAAGGGAAAACTGAGTACCAGAACAAGCTGGCAGGTCTTACAATAAGTTTGGATCTATTCAAAGGTGTTCCGTAGTGCTCCTGTCACCATCTGTGACATCAAAGAAATTCTAAAAACCACGTGCAGTGTGTTATAAGGTAGTCTGGTCCTTCTGAACGATGGGATTAAAGATGCAGGGAGAGGAACAGCCTTCCAGCCAAATTTATATAGTATATAACGTACATCCACATTACGACAATACACATAGGCAAGTACTGAAAAGGAGAAAACCACCACCACCAGAAAGGACTTATCAACCATTCCTTGTGAACTGCGATTCCACTTGAAGTAGTTTACTAACTTTAAGCCATTTATCTACACTCAGTAGCCATAATCACAATGTGCTACCTGCAAAATCAGACGAAAGCCCATAAAAATATTTACTTGCCCTAGTTACTAAAATCCTATTTTTACGACGTTCCAGAAGAATTCCAGGGAAGTAAAGATAAGTGAGCTTCACACCACATAAGGGCAATTTAATGAAAACTACTTTTAGGAGTGCATTTAGGATTCTATATACTGGAAAAATCAGTGCAGCTTTTGTACAGAAAGGTTATGTCTCAAAAGTCTCCTGGAGTTCTCTGAAGGAATCAGCAAGTAGACAAACCTGAGAAATCAGAGCGATACTGTGTACCTGGATTTTCAATGGGCACTTACTGTTCCTTACGAAAGGGAAAGAATTACATTGCTACAGGACAAGAGGAAAAGTCCTCTGACGAGCTAACAAGTTAAAAAGCAAGAAATAAACAAATGAGTTTCACAGAAAGCTGTGCCAGCACATGTGGTATCTAACACTGAAACAACCTCGAAAAGGGTGAACAGTAAACTGTCAAAGTTTGCTAGATGGTATTAAATTATTCAGGATACCCAAAGAAAGGCTGACTGAATAATTTCTCAAGGACCTTACGACAGTAAGTTGGCAATAACTGACCGGGGAAGATCAGCATAAACAAATGCAAAATGATGCAGAGGGGAAAAGTAAGATACTGTGAGTTGACTATTAACATCCAGAAACAGAATGATATGGTTTTAGCTTTACAGCTGATTAAACTTTACACAACTCCTTCACTGCACTAAGCACTTGCCAAAAAGCAAGTCAATGTTAGGACTTGTATGAAAAAAAAAACAAAGATCAGAAATGATTTAGCGATTCTACCATAAACTCACAAGCACTTCCACCTTGAGTAATGTATGCAAATCTGAACGTTCAAAACATATAAAAGGAAAAAGATTTTTCCACACAACGTGCAGCGATGGTGGGAAAGACACAGCTGTAACAGAAGCCGACAGTTCACACTGCTTCAAAAAGCAACTGGACAAAGTCAAAGAAGGAAAATTAACAGGGTGGTGACAAGACTGCAAGCTACTAATGGGAAAGTATTCTGGGGAAGCATCAGTGTTTATTGCCCTGCATTTTACTCTAAAAATCCATAATTGATTGCTATTGGAAACTTAACTGGCTCAGTACATCTGGTTGTAAATGATATTCTTATGTATATTTGATATTAAAATACTGCCCAACCACATATGTGGATGATCACATACATGCAGCAGAATGGCATCTGCCTAATGTTTCATTAGAATAATAATTCATGCTTAATAATATTTAATAAGCTGAGTAGACACCTGGCAAATACTAATATTTTATTTACCTCAGAAAAAAACTGAAGAGAGGGTAAGTGATCTTTTCCTGAAGGAAAGTGACCCCCTGCCCTCCATCACCCCACTCCCTCCAAGACCCAGCTTCACTACAGGATATTCAGTATTTCTGACTCTCGGACACTATGATTTGGAAAAAGTCACAATATCCCAGGTAAAAGCTGCGGTATATATTATATCCTAACTCCTAGTTCAAGGAGTACTCCAGAACATCTGCAACGGGCATTGCATGCTTCCCCTTCACTTCTGATACCAGTGCAACCGAGGATGTATTTTGCTTTTTAACTGCCCTGTCTCAGCCACTGCTATCTGGTTAACACCCAGGATTAGCAAAGGTGATTTGGGAAAGAGAACAACGTCACAAAATCCATTAGCAGATGAATAGTAACACAGAAACCACACGTAAAGGCAAGCCTCCGGTTCTCATTACGGCTTACTCAGGGTCATCTAGGTCAGGAAACTTCTGACCACAATCTGGCTGCAGGATGGCGGGATATAAGAAAGAACCGTGCACCCCATCCCTTCATATTTTTTCCTCAGGACTCATTTTTTATCATTATCAAGAACAGGATACTGGGCTAGATGAAGCATTTATCTGATCCACTACGACTGTTCTTGTAGTACATTAAAACTAATAAAAATATCAGATTACACAAAAAAACCAATTAATTTATTGTCATATATAAAATGGAAACAGAAAATTAACCTAAAACTATTGTTTCTTGATACGCAGTTAAACATTCTAAATATCAGTTTTGTTATAATGATCAAAGTCCAACTCTTTTGAACCAATAACTACAAAATTGAACATCAATTAAACCAACTTCTGAATACAGAATTAATGAATTCACATTATCTCCAAGAATAACATCTAAATTATTTACCTCCTTCTGATCAAGCTGCAGAGAAGATTTTATCAAATCACGAAGAGCAGTAAGTTGTTTCTTTTCTTCATCTTGTGTCTGCTTTATCTATGGAAAGGGACTGCCATTATATGCTTTCTGGATGCAACTTTAATTTTAATTTTTTATGCATTCCAATATACCATTTTAGATGTCCTGAACATCCAGCTGAACTATTTTATGTTGCTGTAATATTTGAGTTTATTTTCATGGACTCATCCATTCTTATGTATTCACTTTCTATGCATGTATTGCTAAATGAATGTACAACTCTGTATACTCTGTTGTTACGCTTTAATGGTTCACTATATCTAATACAACTAAAATAGTCTCTGAAATATTAATGAAATAACTCCAATAAGCTTGACAGACGACTTAAGGAATGAAAATACAGTTTAATTTAGCCACAAACTACAATAGCAAATGGGATTATTGTAATTCTGACTATAGAATACAAAAGCACTTGGGTGACAAGTGGGCTTTGATTCCACATCGTTACTTGCCTTCAGTGAACAGCACAAGTTAATTCATTTAAAAACTGCGGTGCTATCACCAAGCAGTTTGCTTTTGAAAAATGAAAGTGGTAGCTAAAATTAGTGCTAATGATTAAATCTGATTCAAAGACTCCCACTTTAAGTTAGTTTTATTTTAATACAACATGACATTAGTAGCAGAATGAACGCCACTTTTCCTAATAACTGTAAAAACAGAATACAAAGTTTAGAATAGTCAAGATGGTTTTTTCCTCAGTCTAGCTACAATCAAAGTTTCAAAGCACACACTTTTCATTGATAAGACCCAAATGAAATCTACACCCTTGCTGTCACATCTAAAATGTACTCACATAAACAAAATATTTCCATTTCCAGACATTAAACTACTTATAAGTAAACTTACATTATATAAGTCAGCAGCCAACTTTTCAATATATTGTTTAAGTTTATCAGCTGTTTTCAAGCCATCTTGGAAGAAACTGTAAGGAAAAATACCCGTGATTTCTGAGGAATACATATAATTCACAACACACAGTAGATTGTCTTGTGGAGAAAACCAGCAAAACCAGTAAAACACATCCAGCTCCTCCCATGTTTAGAAACAAAGAAATCCACCCGCACCCCACAGAAGAACAAAACCAAAACAAACAAAAAAAACACACAACAAAACCCCCCTTCCTAGTAGTTTTAAAGTACAATATCTTTCAGCACAGGAGATACATCACTGTGACTTTAACAATTATCAAATTAGAAAGAATATACTTTAGCTTGTTTTTATTTTTAGTCAACACGTTTCCCCTTGGTAATTTCTTAAGTCACAGAGACCTTACTGCTCTCTCCAACTACCTAAAAGGAACTTGTGGTGAGGCTGGTATTGGTCTCTTCTCCCAAATAACTAATGACAGGACAAAAGGAAATGGCCTCAAGCTGCACCAGCAGAGGTTTAGATTGGATATTAGGAATAATTTCTTTACTGAAAGAGCGGTGGTTAGACATTGGAACAGGCTGCCCAGGGGGGTGGTGGAGTCACCATCCCTGTAGGTGTTCAAAAGACGTATAGATGTGGTGCTCAGGGACGTGGTTTAGCGGTGAGCTTGGCAGTGTTTGGAAAATGGTTGGACCTGATGATCTTAAAGGTCCTTTCCAACCAAAATGTTTCTACGATCCTATGAAAATCTTGTTCCTGTATTTAACTTAAGTAGAAGTTCTTGTATCTTCGCCTCTGTGGTTCTCCTGATGACAAGGCCATATCTCACCAGTTTCACCTCAAGGAATTCCAAAGAAATTACTGGCTTTCACAATGGTTTTACAATTTACATAAAAACCTAAAAACTACTAAATAGAATAAAAAAAGCTATTTCTAAAATTACATTCTAGGTCTATGCCTCAGGAACTAAAATTAATTTTGTACACAACATGCAAGGCTTCCCCTTGGCCTCTTTCTCCATCACTCCCCTGCCCCACTCACTCACTTTCATCCTCTCTGCCGAAATACTACAGCCTAGCAGGATGAAGTTGCAGACACCTGGCGGATTACAGTTACGATAAAAACTCCTGATGTAACCAAAAGAAATTCAAAACAAAGGGAAACAAAACACTCGTGTGAAAAAGAAAATTGTAACTGAAGCTTAAAAGCTTTTCACTTACTTGCATTGTGCATGATAATATTTAATAAGGTTCTGCAGAAGGTCCACACCTTTTTTTGTCTTGATTTCATTAACCTTAATTAGATACTGTATAGACAGTAAAAAACATGTTGATAATCACGTCTCACACGCTTTAACAGTTTTCAATCAATAAACATCATTTGCTCAGTGAATTATCTCTAAGTTTAACCTGGGTGTTGACTCCTAAGCCAGCAGTCCAGCACAGTTAGGCAAAATACAAACCAGGTAACAGTTTATTTGGCCATTCCTGAAAAATTCAAACACCCCAAAACATAAAACAACTTCAGGAAAAAGTTTCATCTTTTACAATTGGCTGAAGACGCCTCTTTTTTTAATGCACTGCAGTAATCACTGAAATACTCTAAAAATAGAAATACTATGCAATTTAAAGTAATTGCCACTAAAGTGTAATAAAAAGAACTATTAATATAAAAAGCAGTTTTATACAACTAATGTATCACTATCATATATGACTTCATTAGAAATGTTAGGCTTCAGAAAGCGTGCTGCAAGAGACACGAAAAATACTTCCTGAACTACTCAACCATAAACTTGAACAAACAAGAAATATTTCCATAGTGTATTTTCAGCCCAAGAACCTTAGCATGATCATGTAAAAACAAAGAAAAAGAATAAAAGAAAAGAAAGCCAAGTTTTGTACGGAGTTGCTGAAATAATTATCTTTATATTGCTGGACTATGTGACATTGAAATAATTTCCTCCCTCCACCCCCATTAAACGACAAAGTAGACTTCATCACCGCTAAGGAAGGCCCACAAGGTACTTTCAAGTTATGGTGTTTTAATTAAAAGCTGAAATTGGTTCTTACTTCACACATCTGTAGCTGAAATAGCCGCCTTTCCTTCTCCATTTCCTCTGCTATCTCGGCTCCTGTTATTTCAGTTCTTATCATCCCATGCTGTTTCGCATGTTCTCTTTTTTCTTTTTCAATTTTTGTACTGAAATTTTAATTAGAAAACATTTTAGAGAATTTCTTCTACTGCCATGTGATCTAGTATTATTTAGGAAGAAACGAATATTCCAGAAATATTAAATAAGACATTACGAAGATGAGTTCCTCTAAAAAATATATAGCATTTGGTATCATAAAGTGTCCAGAAGTAATGAAGTCATGAAGCTGCCCTTCCTTTCTTTCACCCTTTAACTCTTTTCTCTAGTTTGTATGCTACTTAGGGAAAAAATTATTAAAACCCCTCATTCTTTCTATATGATGCCCTTCATAGCCTTCATCTCTATATACTGCAGTGTAAAGCATGCATATAAGAAACTACCGACTTGGCAGGACAACAGCAGAATATCTTAATCAAATACATTTCATGCTCACAAGGCAGGAATTAAGAAAAACAACGAAGCAGCATATGAAGTTTAACACCTATGCTAAAGGACAGGACTTCCAGTCATTACATTTTCAAAGAAAGCCAACGCTGAAATTCTGATATAGTGAAAGGCAGCTGTGGAACTAAGAGGCCATCCTGAGCCTTTACTCAGCTTTACAGTGTGGCTGTCCTTACAGATCTACACGGCAGACTAACCGAGCGCTCCATTCGTAAGCAAACTCAGATTTCCAATATAGAGTAGAAAAATCAAAACAATTTTTTGATTTCCTTTAAAAAAAATAATCTTTCTTCTTGAACAGCCATCCTGAGAAAAATAAGACTGAAGGTGTACTTCTGTGAAGTGACAAAGCCCTGTGTGTTTATTAGGCCGGTACTCCTTGCTGGGTAAAAAAAAAAAATTAAGAAGGATTAATTTATTCAGTTTTGAACTCTTGCTTTTCTCCAACTAAAAAAGGCATAATGTTTGCATGTAGAACTAAGCACTTCTCATCACTGCACCTCTAACCTTGACTTGATATTTGGGTCTTGAACAAGTTCTGGGAAATTGGGCTGTCTAAGAAATTTAAGGGACATCTTGGTCTTACTCAGCCCAAATGAAATTTGCTCACAAGAGAAAAAAAAAAAATAGTAACAAGACAACAGGCAGCTTCCTGTAAACTTCCCAAATTCAGAAAAGAATTCCACAGAAGGTTCCACGCATTGAATTTGTACGAGATACCTGTCTCCTAAGTTCTGTTTAACTGCATTTGGTATAAATAGGCTGGCAAAGAGATCCCTGATTTTACATACAGCAATTTGAGAGGCAGAAATATTATTTTTTTTAAACCACTTTGCAGTTTACAGAAAACTATTCAATGTTTTTGCAAAACATGCAATATCTGTAGGAACTAATTAACTAAAAAGGAACAGAAAACCCAATTCTGCATGTAAATCCCAACGCTCAACTGAGAACAATGATGCACTTCTGGGGCAGGAATCTCCTTTTTGCCTTGGATTAGGAACAACCTCCTTTCCAGTTCAGTTTTTCAGAAGGAGTTAACATTGTAATGAATTTTGAAGGCAAAAGTTACTATATGTAGGTAAGAAAATTACAACACTGCTGATAATAAATATTTCAGCAGTTCTTAGTGGCCTGACTTTTCCTTTCATTGCTTTTCTCCCCTCCTGGTCAGACATAAATGAAACAAAGCTAATAATAGGATTAAAAGGAGGAATAAATGAAAGGTTACAAAATATGAATTAATTCCTGAGAGCTCTTGAGTTCTGATAAAGCAACTGCCCATCACTTCCTTGAGAGCATTCTGAACAATTCCACCAACAGCTCTGCGACCATTATGCTAGTTGGAAACTATTGTTTCCAACCTCCTATTTTTATAAGTCATTTTTTACCCACAGAAGACAGGTATTATAGCAACAAAATATTTTTAAAACCACAGCTATTTTAGAAGTCACATCAACTGCACTAAAATTCTTGCCTATCAAAAACACACAATTCTGCAACATACGATAACATACAAATCACATCATTTTTACTATCGATAGTTTTATGTATGTGGTTGTCAGAATGTGTAAATGCCATCTGAAATCTCCACGATTCACTTTACAAGGTTAAGTATTATCTTCTTTACTAAAGAAACATCAGGCAGTCATTTAACTACTTCACAGAGCACTTAGAAATATTTTCTTTCTATTAGTGCAGAAGAGAGATTCACAGAAAAGAGGTCTTGCTCACATCCACATTTACATCCACAGATACAGTACGTAGTTTAGGACCAGGAGTGGAAAGAAAAGGAGAAAGGTGGGGGGACGGGGGGGGAAGAGAGAGAAAAATACTTACAATTTGGTTTCATAATCCTTCCAGGCTTTGTCAAAAGGCTTTTTGAGGTCCTTAGGAAACAGAAAGTTTGCTTAGAACATTTTTTAAACTGTGTTTTCACAGTTAAGATATCAAGTTACAAATAGCAACGAAAATACTGTTTTCTTTTAAAACTTTTCAGACAGTAGTTTGGAAAAAATATTATTTTTGACTCTTGTAAAGTATTGCTTTCCTGTGCAGCTTAAGACAGGAATTTACAATGAAATTCTAAAGCAGCACCACAGTCAGGCCAATTTTGAATTTGCTCTTTGGACTGCATACAGAATATTAATGGATGCCAACAGAAGAAGTAATCTCATGGGGGAACGGCAAAAAGTCACAAGACACCTGAAGCTACAAACATTTCCCTAAATAAAAAGCTAGTTTTCAACACTTACCCCTTTAACACCTTTTAAGTCTCCTTTTAAGAGAGAATCCAAAGTAAAAATAACATTGTGGCTTAAACCCTGGAGCTAAAAAGAAAAACATTATACTGTTATCATTCAAAAAGATTTCTCATGACCTTATCAAACTACTGACAACAAGTCTTTGAACTTCACTAATGAAGTTGCAGTCACCTCAAAATTTCTAAATTAACAGTAAATTCAAGTCTGGGAAGAATTAATAAACATTCACTTGCATCAGACATAGAAGCATTACTATTAATCTTTACTTATATAGGGTGATATAAAACCAGAACTTCAAAAATAGCATATAAGCAAAGTTCTGTAAGCACCTCAGGGTAATCTGCAGTCTCTCGAAGCCAACACTGAATACTGCTTAATTACTTAGGAAGCAAATTAGCTTCTGGAACAAATGTTTCTTATAGCCTCCCCGGTAAGAAGTTAAGGACCTGCTGTGCTACAGGTAGCTAACACACAAGGCACACGGTAATTCAACCCCGAAAAAAAAGGAGCATAGAGAGTCATCAGCTCTTTGATTATTCCCAACTATTTAGGAAGACCGTTCCTCTCCTCGTCCAGTGTGGAAATCTGCCATCTCCTGAAACTCATGAGAGTTTACCTTCCACCCCGTTCAGTCCACGCCTGTTTGACAACAGAGCTGTGGAAACGTTCGTATCCTTTGTCAGTCTAAGGGTAGAAAAACCTGCTGCTGTGATCCCACCTGAACACACGTGGTGCGTACGGTTCCTGAAGAGTCACGATCACAGGAAAGAGATGTGTACCAGCATTATCCCAGCCTAGAGAAAAGCCTGTTGCCTCTCCTACTTCACACCCCTCTTTGTTTCTCCCCCTCAAATATTCCACGAATTCCTCAGTTCCTCGCTAAGGAAGGATAGGGAGAATGATAGGAAGGCTGCAAGACACCACATCCTCTGCTTGTAAACCAAAGCAGCAGGAAAGCGTTACATCAGTGGTTTTAATCTGCCATAGATACGGCCCAGCTCTCCTCTCCTATAAGCTCTTCTGAGCGTATTTTAGTCCATGAAACTAATTTTTAGGGGGCTTCTGTGAAGCAGACAATCCAGAGACGAGAATATCAAAACGATCACTCGGGTTCTCCAGGTACAATGCTCCATTCACAAACTCTTTATATCTTCAAAAGACTTGTATGAAATACGAAACACTAAGTTTTTCAAAAGTGACATTATGCAATTTTAAATACAGGCACATAAAAGAAAAAAAAATCAAAGAAATCTCACTCTTGTATCATGGTTTGCTTCTTTCATAGGTGTAAAATAAAGTTGCTTGATCTGTCTGCATTTGCTGCAGTTTTAAGAGCCACAGCCTCTTACCATTTTACAAGCAGCTTCTTGTATCGTGCCATTATCTACATGAACTACATCCACTATATACAATCCAACATTTTCCTTCATTAGATTCACTGTCAGTCCAAAAGAACCCAGACTTGCTTTGCTCTCCAAATACTCTGGGTTAAAAAGGATTTCTGTAAGGTCCCACACAGATTACTGCCAACCTGGCTGCAAAAGCTCGAGCACAGTTTCATGTGCCCGTGGTTCTAACGAACACACAAAGCAGTCCTACAAAGCACGGTTCTCGAGCTTGATGTGCATTATTCTCTGGAAAGCACGGGGGTCTCAGCACGGCAGAGGAGAAGGTGGATCTTTCGAACACAGGGTTTTATACAGCTACTTAATTATCACCTGAGAGCTGGTCAGCCGCCCCTCAAGTTTTGTTCGTTTAGACAGCTTGCAGATACCATAGATGATGAGGGCTGGAGCACCTCTCCTGTGAAGAAAGGCTGGGAGAGTTGGGGCTGTTCAGCCTGGAGGAGAGAAGGCTCCAGAAGCACCTTTAGCAAAGTCAAGTGCTTCCTTGTTGGGGCCTTTCAATACTTAGAGGGGGCTTGTAAGAAAGATGGGGACAGACTCTTTAGCAGGACCTGCTGGATAGGGCAAGGGGTAATCATTTTAAACTAAAGGAGGGTAGATTTAGCTTAGATAGTAGGAAGAAATTTTTTATAGTGAGGGTGGTGAAACACTGGCACAGGTTGTCCAGAGAGGTGGCAGATGCCCCATCCTTGGAAACATTCAAGGTCAGGTTGCACGGGGCTCTGAGCAACCTGATCTAGGTGAAGATGTCCCTGCTCACCGCAGGGGGCTTGGACTAGATGGCCTTTAAAAGGTCCCTTCCAACCCAAACTATTCTATGACTCTGTGGTTATTCTTAGTATGAGATGGGATTCAAATTTAGAAAACGTGACACATTTGTATCTTCACGTTCAAAATACCTTGGCAACTGTTCCATGTATCAATATTTTATATTTTTTAATTCACAGAATGTTATATTCAAAATGTATTCAAAGCAAGATGAAGGTCGGCCACTAGAACATACTGAGCTGCAGCCTCAAACAATAACATAAACACAAAGGTTCTTCACGGCATAAGAGATAAAGACCTGAGAATGCATTTTCTCCTTAACTGCAACGTAATTAATGCTCAAATACTGATTTTGTATGAAGCCAAACAACAACCTGATCAGTGATTAAATCTCCAAAAAGCTTTTTTTCTTTACCTGGCTTCATAAAGGCGTTTATAGGGTATAGTCTAAGCTCTGACTCTATTTAAAGAGCTAGGTTCCATTTTTCTTTCTGCTCAGCTTAACCATTCGCATGACTCCCACACAATATTATTTCATAACAGAAATATAAAAAGAGCCAGGAAATTTGTGGAGGATTATGCCTTTTTGCAATTTGTCCTCTGTTGGCTTTTTACCTCAATACATCACAACCAACAACTCCTTAGCAACGTCAATTTTGTTGGAGAAGGAAAAGAATTATGAATATTAAGCCAACAAGTGATTAAGGTAATACCTACTTTATCAATACACAGATTAAAGGAGAGGTATTACTGTTTTAATTCTCAATCACTTTAATCAGTTTCCACTTAACCTAAACTGAAGTTCATATCTCAAATGTGAATTTTGGATAAGAATATTCAAAATATTTTAATCCCAGTCTAGTTCATAAAAACAGAGAGAACACGAATTTCTGCAATATGGGTCGATCTGGCAGACTTAAAGCAGTCACCAGGGCACGCGTGAACAATAGTATATTACCGCAGCTTTTTGCATTTTTCGAGGTGTTTCTGTTATGGATAAGCAATTCAAGCCACTAATACTTGGCTTGAAATTAAATTACTGAACAGTAAGCAGCCAGTATGTCAGCTAGGAAAAACCCCCACCCTAAACAGCAGTGTATTCCTCCTAATATGTAAGATTTTGGAAACATTTATTACATTGTTGAAGGCGTGATAGAACAGTAGCCCAAATGAATTGGAAACATGTCTGATAAAGCACAACAGTCTCACACCTAGGGCAAAATAAAAGAAAAAAAACATTTACAGATGGAAACAACTATGATAATTTGGGGAGGAGGCATGCGAATAGAAGTTAATTCGCCTGCAAAGATTAGCTGAGGACATTTACAAGAAAGGGAGGCGGGGGAAAAAAAAAAACAACGCTTTACACGTTTGGAAAAAGCCAAGCACCATGCAACATTTCAAAAAAACAAGTGCCCTATGTGCTCCAAATGCCCTTCCAACACCCCACCTAGATCAATTTAAAGATATTGACGCACTCAGTTTCACACACGCAGATTTTCATACAGCTTTTAAATCCATTATTATAATGAATTACTGCATAAAGAATGAAACCTGAACAAGAAATGAGGTACAAGTAGTAAAAAACAGCAAAACCGATTCTGGAGGGACAGTCTGAGATTGCTGAAAACATAGACCAGTGTCAACAATGCTCAATTACACTGTAATTACCTTTATAAAACGTTACAGAAGTGGTCATTGTGTGCCACTCTAAGGTAATCTTAATGATACCAAAAACACCCCTCAGAAATATAACGTGATATTTATAGGTTTTAAGTTTCAGATGTTATATTTAGCGATACTATTACAGTTCATAGTAAAATTTGCATAGCCACTTATTTGTTTTGTTAAAATGATTAAAGGCTATGTCTTTACTCTTGACGTTGTGTGCAGAGCAAACATTTCAAAACGGTAGTTTCCCAAAGTTGGGTATGTAATAAAAGTCACTGGTTTTACTTCATAGTAAGTGATCACAGTAAGTGAGTGAAGATCACTCTCAGTGATCACTGTAATTCCTTCACACAGAAGAAAATAAATTATTCTGTACCCTCTTTCTCATGAAATCTGCATAATATCACAATTCAGGGGAAAAATATTTCATAAAAATGGTTCCAGATTTTTGAAGGGTTTTTTTGTTGCCTACTGTGTAGCTCCATTCCTTATTTGTCTTCCTGTCTTTAAAGACCATCTATTATTTTATTGTACTTTTATTAAACAAGGCAGCAACAATCTGGGCTATGTAAAAAAAAAATCCTATTAGCTTGTCATTCATCTTAATACTTACTGCCATTTTTTCAATTAATTTTATTAACATAAGCCTCAGCAACTACTGTGGGGCTTTACCAGTGGCATTATATGTATAGTCCTCCTCTCAACTGTTCTTTCACTGGACCCCAAATTCTATTTCGATATGGTAACAATCTTTTCCTTTCAGTGTAATTGTATTAATCAGAATGATACTTAAGAACAGTGCCTCAACAAAGCAGTATTACCTATCTTAGAGAGAGCAAAGGTGAAAAATAAGTTTTTTAAACGCTGAGACATTTGTAACATAAGCCTGTCATATAGCTGAAACTGCTGAATGAAGTAAATTAGGGAATAGCCTATTTTAAATCCTGTCAGTAAGAATTTAGATAGCTAATGCTTCATAGTCTAGCTGAAATAGCGTAACATGGTTTTGAATTAGTGTGGCTTCTTAAGTTAAAAGAGCTTTCTCCCCTTGATGAGTACTACTTTAAATAAATAAATATTCCCCCATTTCTTGTTTGCAAGAAAGTTGAAAGAAGTCAAAAATTTCTGTGGAAGCCCTTAAGGAATCATGAGGTCCAGAGAGCTTCCAACAAACTTGAGTCCTAGCTCCGAACTGTCCACAAACTGCATTTTAAACACACGTTTAAAAATATTTATTTTTAATTGTGTGCTAAATTAAGATTAAAGGAGGCCAAAATAACCCAGAATGACAGTCTTTACAGAGGAAAGCAGGCTTCTCGCCTATCTACTGCTCTTTAAAACTGCCAGCACTGAAACAAACAAAGGATGATCCAAGCAATAGGCTGGAACGAAGCTCTTCAAGAAAGCAAGCTTCATCAGGGGAAGCGTGGTCATCCTTAGACAAGGCAAGACTCTGGAGGCAGGAATAAGCACAAGCATGAGAGGTCAGAAGTGACACCCCGTTTTGAGTGCTGCGAGGGCCTGTGCAGTCCGAGACGTTTGTAAGCGAATCTCCGAGCAGTGCAGAGCCAGCTGAGAACGCCTGCTGGTACGACGCTGCTCTGAGCAGAAAAGCAGAAGCCAGGTATGAAAAGTTGCCTAAGAACCTTGTAACATTTACCGCTGAGAGAATGAAATTAAAGACTGAAGTCTCTGCTGAAAAATGTAAAGTGATGCATAAGGAGAAAAAAACCTGCATATGGAATCATGCTTATGAAATAACAATCATCAAGAAAAACGTCTCAAGGGAAAAAATACCTTGAGTTACAATATAGAATCCCTTGAAACCATCAAGCTTAATGCTCAGTAATCATAAAGCAATCAGACTTCAGAAAAGAGAGTAAGAAATGAAACCATCTTCGTGTTTCTCTCCCCTCGTTTCAGAAAAGTGTACAACAGTACTAAGAGAAGATACAGAAAGCACCTACAAAGACAATCCAAGTTATGGAACAACTAAGACTCAGCTAGGAAAGTAACAGAGGAAGGGAAAGGAAGAATGACACCGATTTGTAAATCCCTGGGAAAAATAAGGAAATTCTTACATTTCTTGCAAGATAAAAGAATCAGGGAATAATAAATGAAAGGATCAGGTTCAGAAGAAACAGAATTCATGCAGGTAATACTAAAAAGGACTACAAAGCTAAAGATACTGCCTCCATCTCCAACGTCTCTGAGCCGAAGACTGTTTTCATGACCATAGTACAGAAGTTATCCACATACGTTTGCTCTCTTCCTACACTCTGCCCTAAAGATTCACTCTTGGGCAACTGTCGAAGCCAGGGTACTGGCTACATGGACCTTTGATGTAACCTAAAGGAGCTGTGCTCATGCTAGGGGCTTTAGGAAAGAAAGTCTGTAGCATTTCTTATTCTTCACATACCGAAAAAGCTTGGAAATAAACCCAACTAGAAGAAAAACGCAAAATTGAAATACCACATTCTGAATACAACAGCTATCAAGCCCGTGAAACACAATTTCACAAGAAACGTGGCTTCATTACTTTCACTGTTCAAAGATATTTGCTATGACTACGGCTTTTATTATCCAGCTTTCAGAAGTAAAAGGCCTAAGATGAACCTTAGATGAGATAAACCTTTAAACCAACTTCATAAGCCTAATATTTAAGCAATGGATGCTTTGTATACCACAGGGAGAATGGACTATTAACAGTTTTTAAGCACGCTCCCCAAATTGTTATCCTTCTACCAAAATGTGAAAGTTTATCTTTTTGAGGTAAGACAAAACAGCTGTAAGTAATGGTATTGGATTTTTAGCTGGAAAGACTTCCAAGTCAGGGAATGACTTAAAATCTGTGATTCCATGATTAAGGTCCATAAGAAGAGACACATAACACTGTCAATCACTTGAGAATGAGGCCTCCAGTGACGTCTCAACATTTATATTTTTCTTCCTAACTGCCAATTAACAACCAAACACAGTGAGCATGTAATAACACCCCTTAGAGGTAATCTCTGCAGAAATCATTGTACTGGTTTTTGAAAAAAACCTGAAAGCAACTTTAAAATTATCACCAGCCATCAGGACCATGCAGTTGTATTGTACTTTATTCGGGAAAAATTTAAAAGACTAAGGAAGTTTGAAACGTCTCACCAGGTTCTTCAACAGCGTTGATAATTCTTTAGTAAGCGTGGAGAATTTTACAAAAGCTGTGCCAAGATCTGGATTATCCCGACTTAAAAAATTACTTCCAAATTTATCTAGTACTTGTGCATAGTTTTCTTCGTTTTGAACATGATCTGCAAAGAAAAATTAAAAGTCAGAAAGTTTTTCTTGTTGACAGTCAATTATTATTTTAAGCTTATGTATTGCAAAATACTGACAAGCCAACTAACAGTACTTTCAAAAAAGCTACAAGTTAATGCATTTACTGAAAATTACAATAATTTTAATATTGAAAAGAACTATTAAGCAACAGACATATATACACTTTTAAAATCAATGGATTTGTAATACATGAATGAAAAAAGCTCAGTACTTATTAATAAAGTAGTAACATCAATGAAAAAACAATCAAACAATATAAGTACACGTGTTCATTTTGTAAACATGAGAATTTATAATTGTCTACTGTAATGCAAACTTTTTTTTTAATTTTAATATAGGACACTTACAGGACAATAAAAAGTCCATAGGATCAGACATAACACTAAGGAGACCAAGTCTGAGTGACTGCAGGTTTAAAAGAAGAAACTTGTCTTACAAATATTCCCTTTTCACTGCTCTGTAAAACTGAGTTACCCCTCAGCACGGAACATAACAGTATGGAGCCAAAGACTTGTTACAACATATTTAACAGCAAATTGGACATACAGAGAGGTCAGAACCAAGAAGATGAAACTGAAGCCAGTGAAAGCAAGCAAAACCCTTCACTCAAGGATGAAGGAAATTCTGAATCACAGACCATTGTGCCTGAAATGTTTTTCCTGCTTCTATTACTTTCCTTTCTGGCATCTGTTTGCATATTTTTTGTTACTTCCATTTTAGCATCTTTAAATAGAAAATTTGCCACTACAGCCCTCTGGGACACACTTTATCACCTCCATTTCTCTCAGAGGAATATCGTTGGTATTAATTAAATCAACATTTCACTTTAATGAGTTTCCTACTCTGACTATGTTTCTTTCTGTAACCCACAAAAACAAAACCACAGAGCTATTCCAACTAGAACAAGCTCTGGGCAATGAAAGGGAGGAAAAATCCCTAATAGTTGCCAATAGGTACCAAGTTTTTCCCCAAAAGACTTGCAAGTTTTACATTCTCCAAGTTGTCATATTGCCTGAGAACATTTGAATTACAAGGGGCGGGGTGAGATGGGTAGAAACCTGAAAAGATGACCAAAAAAACAAAGAGGCAAGTTTCAAACAAGGTTTGTGGATAACGTGCCACAACGCATGAATCTACTTTGGCATTAACTAAGAGCCGATGAAGAGTTAAACAATAACACTTCCAAGGCATTGCGGGTACTTAGAACAACAGTGCCCTAACGCTAAAACAACAACAAAAAGGAAAAACCTATTAGAAGACCAAAAAAAAAAAAATCATAATGCTTATTTACCAAAAACAAACCCCAAACCCCACACATCAGACAAGTTACATTCTAAAATCAGACACCAACATTGAGGTTTTCAAAAGGCCAAATGTTTAATCCTATGTTAATATGGAGCTGTAATTCGAGCAGTATGTTTTTAATAAAACTGTTCCAAAAGCATACGGTTTTAATCAAATAGCTTAGCATTAAAACCAAGGAAACCACTGTATAATAATAAAATATGCATTTTGTTTTGATGTAAAAGCTGTTGCATAAATATACATAGAAGACTTTATCTAAGAAGCAGCTTGGGCTTACGCAGTCCTGAGCTAATAAAGCTCAAATGTACCCGACCGTGCTGAAGGAAAAGGAAGGACGATGGAACAAGGTCAGAAAGAAGTCTGTTAGATCACGGGATCCCTGTCCTTGCCTGTGAAGCGCTTCTAACCAGACGGTATTTCACAGCATTTTGATTTTAAGTGCTGTGCTGTTTCACAGAGCATTTAAAAAATAATTTTGGAAAGAAACTGAAAAGAAGCTGAAGACGACCGTTTCCTTTATCTGTGGAAATGCAAAATAAATTGCCAGTCAGAAAGAGGAAGCAGGAAGCAGACTCTTGTCCTAGAACAATATATAGGAAATTTTCAAGAATCCCAGATTGCAAGTCACGTAAATCTAGAAATCAGGCTTTGATTATGATGCAAAAGGAATATTTCTGTAATTACCACATATATACACAAAATTCAAGTACTGCGTAGGAATAATAAACTTCCAATTTTTACTTAAGTATCAACGTAAATCATGTAAAAGGAGAAGAAACATTTGCTATGGAAGAGCTAAGACAGTTCCTTACTCGACCTTAAAGGCATACAGAGGAAAGTTAAATCTGCAACATAGCCTATGCTACAACGCAGCACACGAAAACCGACATGCTTACAGCCAAGAAGATGCTTTCATCTCCCTGTAGGTGCCTCACGCAAACACAGAAATTACTTCCTAGTGTCCTAATAGGATTTCCTTTGCATAAAGAACACTATAATGATGTTTATTTCCTTCAAGACAAGCACTGTAGGAAGGACCTCAACAACCCTAGAGACTGAGCCACGAACACTGACAGCAGTCTATACAAAGGATAACCTTTGCCTTCTCAAACTGGCTCCTGTCCTCAGCATCGTAAACAAAGGCCGGTACCGTGATGAAAACAGAACAGCTTCCCCAGCCACACCTCTTCCTCCTTCAGCGGCTCCCCCAGAGGGGCCAGGATCACCAACACCAGAGGATGGGCTCTACACCCACTGAGGAACGCAGCTGCCTTCGAAGGGGCCATGGGCAGGGACAGGGGCCTCGCTAATCACCCCCGGCCATGGGGTCTGGCCAGGGAGCCAGCGCCTGAGCCCGTGCTGGGGACCCCCCTACAGAACGGCAGGTGTAGTATACAGCAACATACTGGACCGGCTACAGCAGTGAGATTTTCTGAGCTCAAAGACATGCATCCTCCCTTCTCCACAATCCACACCTTCACCTCTGAGAAACACTCGGCTCAGAATTTACCTTTGTTTTGAGAAAACTCCGGCAGGGCCCAGTGCACAGCAATGCTGTGGCATCCCTCACTTCTGTGCAATAACGTGTAGGTTGAGCATTATGTGTGAGGAGGAAATACCACAAACACACCTGAAGGCGCAGATCCAAGCAACTGAGGAAGGAACGACAGGCACAGGAGCTTACAGCAGCCTTCTGCTACACAGCAGCACTCACCAGAAGCAGGGACCACACTTTGTCTGAGCCCTGAGCACCGAGTAGGCTCAGGCTGAAGGACTCCCAGGGCTGAATCCCACCTTGTTCTGCTGCCACAGGTCATCTCTGAAGTTGTCTACTCCTAAAGCCACCCTGTGGTAAACTTTTCCCAGGACAAGGACAGAAGACTGAAATCAGATGCCCAAGGCATACAAAGAATTTGTACTCTTTCACTGAAACCCACAACATTCATTACTATGTTTATTTCCCATTCAAAAGTTACCAGAATTTTAGCATATGCTTCTGAATCCAGGGGAATTCATGTCTCCTTGTGCATACTAACTAAGGAATCTGAAGAACAAATACTGAAGAGAGGTTAAAGAACAGCCTTTATATACCAGAGCTAGACGGCACATTACTAAAATTAAAGCCTTAACTTTCCTTTGTCTAGAACAGTTTTGTTCAGATATATTATCCTGCAAACACTGAAGAACCAAAAAAAAAAAAGTTAAATAGTTTACAGAAGAAAAATGCACAAACACAATTCTTTCCTGTCACTCATTATACTCAAATTACATCCAAAGAAACCCCAAAAACATCTAAATCACTGAGAATTACTTGTGTGTACACACACTGGTTAAGTCCGAAAAAGAAGAATCATGATTCAGAATCCTGATGAACTTGAAACTATTTTTGTTGCACTTATAAAACAGCTTTGTTCCGCGGGTAGCCGGAGGAAAAATAACCAAGGTCAGAGCCAAGCTGCATTTATGAATGGAAAAACATGCACATGAAATAAGACTCAGAAAGACTTTAGAAAAAGCAAGAAAGCTGGCAAGGTTAAAAAGGATGGCCAAGTAAGTTATTTGAAACAAGAAAGCATGCTTTCTCATTACATCCTTCAGAAAGCTGAAATCTAAAGGAAAAAAATCATAGAAAAGAAAAAAAATAATATTTGACCACCAGATTCTTATCTGGACTTGGTAACAATAATGCCTTCTGGACTGAGACAGCTGAAGGGAAAAGTAATAAAAAGCTCTTTCAACGATTTCCAGAGTAAGTAGCATCTTGGCGAGTCTGCAAGGTTCTCCAGATCATCGTGGTATAAGAGAGATAAGCCAGCCCAGAATGGCAAAAGCCCTCTTTTTGCATCCGTGTTCATCACCGACGTGCTTGAAGAACTCCACATAGAAGAATTTTCTTTCAACTGTCCTTCAGAGGATTTATACCAAATCTATGTGCTAACAGTAAAATTCATAAAAGCGGAAAAAATGAGCATTGCCAAGTCCCCACATAGAGAAGAATAAAATAGGCAAACTATATAGCTGTAAAGTAAAGCCTCTGATTTATAACAGCTTCAATACTACAGGAAGAATGAGAAAGCAAAGATAATAGCTATTTTTAATAAGAGCTCCAGAGAGAACTGAATATTCAATTATATACCAGCAGAGCAATAATGTTCATATATTCCTCAGACAAATTCGTAGAAACTACAGTGCAGAACAGAATTAGTGAACATATGGATAAATACAAAATGCTGAACAAGAAACACCGGTTTTATAAAAAGAAATTTTTACTTCAAAAACCTCCCCCCTCCAGGGGATCAACAAGCATATGGGGAGAGGAAAGCCACATGAAATGATCTGTTTGGATTTTTGAGACCATCAGTCCCTCATCAAAACACTAAAAGACACTAAGCAAACTGAGAGGGATGAGCCTCACACAGAGGAAAGACAGGTCAAAAAGATGTAGTGGGGGAAAGGAAAGAATAAAGAGTTAATTTTCTCAACAGAGGGAGGTCACCATTGAAGTCCTGTATGAAACAGCGATAAGGCCCACAGGGTCCAACAACACATAAATGAGCCAGGAAATAAAACTCAGTGATAAACTCTCTGCTTCTTTTCCATACAATACTATAAATTATTCAAACAGAAACAGAAGCTGACTCCAAATGGGAGATTCATCTGTCCAAGCACAGACTTCTACAACAAAGATGCCCATATTGGAGCTTGCAGTCTGCCCTTCCCCTTACATTTAGCACAGAAAAAGATACTGTTCAGCTCATCCCAGCGCGAAAGCAGAGGAAGTCAGATGTATCTCACCCTCAAAGTCTCTACATACATCTATTAATTGTGCGTGGAGGCTACGGCAACAGGTAGCGTCTGGGTGGCTCCCGAGGTAGATGTGGAATCCCACCTTGAATGTCCGATGCACGAAGGTGTGCATTAGGCAGTGTAACACACGAGGGAAAACACTCCGAACTTTTAAGAAACAATTGTGTAACTCCACATGACAAGGAAAGGTTCTGGAATTATATCACCTCAACGTTCAGCATCAAACAAAACCAAGCTGAACATCAGAAATTGTTCAGAAACACAGCATGCAATAGAGAAACATAAAAACACTGCCGTAGCGTGCTTAAACCCTTAATATTGTGTGCAGATCCTGTCCCTGCTGCCCAAAATTCAATCCTCTTCCCTGCTTTAAAAAAGAAACTCTATGATGCCATTTTGGAGAAAGAGAGTAAGGATGATTAAATGTGATCGTTTCTGTAAAAAGCAAACAAAAAAAATCCCACACTCAAAAACCCCTAGGGTTGCTGAGCTCAGAAGAGAGATACTGTGGGTGATTGCGGAAACTCCTCAATCCAGAAACCTGTGTCAAGAGATAGAATGGACGACACTGAATCAAAGTTTGGATTCATCCACCAGAAAGTCCTCTGACACTACTCTAGCAAGCTTTGGCACTTCAAAGCTCCCTACAAACATGCAAAAGTCCCTCAATTTCACATCAAATGAGTCATTCTGGTGGGCTTGAGGCCAATGCTTTGAGACAGGGCCAGTCTCCTCCCCGGGGGACTTTAGGCCTGAAGAGCACGCATGGGACAACTTTGCAAGGGAGCATTTAACTAGATTGATGCAAGACTATCAATGACAAAGGCTTACATGAATTTAAATTCCTCAGACAAAATGGGTTGTAAAGGTCTGTTAAGAATTATCAAGCGTATCAGTCCTGGCTCAGGTAATTCCTGGCCTTTGTATCACTGTGAGCTGCAAAAACGTTAAAAAAAGAATCATAATAGAAAAAAAGCACTCCATCTTTGCACTGCTCTTCTACTTCCTCCAGCATCTGCTGCTGATCGCTGCAGGACACCATACGGACTGCTGGGCTGGCTCAGTACTTTTGGTCTTGAGTGGATTTTATGGTTTTATTTCTCCATTGTGTAAATTATTTTGACTGCATTTGGGAGTTATACCAGGGAACTAATGAAAAAGAGCTATTGAAAAATCTGCAACGAAACTAATTGTGCAATCCACGGCAGTTACAATTCAATCCAAATGTCATGGCCAAGCTAGTCAGGACACATTCTCCGTTAAGTTCAAGTACCATTCCCTAGTTAACAGATGCAATCTATCACAGCAGAAACAAAAGGCAAGCCAGGTAAGGAGGAAGAGGTTAGGAAGAGGTAAAAATTTGTACGTCTCACCGGATTTCATGAACTGTACTTTCCCAAACAGTACCTGCAGATGTGGAAAAGGGGATGGGACCTTCCTAAGGGACTTCCACGTTTCTGCGCTGGTACGTTTTCATTCCACAGCAGGTAGATATAAATCTAAATATGACCAATGGGGGAGGGACGTGCACAAAACGCAAAAATATTTGGGTGACATTTAGGCTCCCTTCATAACAGAAGAGAATCCCCCGCGGTTCACAATTCAGCAATGAAGAGGAACAAACCAATACACCAGAGGGCTAGGGCTTTCTGAAGAATTCCGCGTGAGACACTGTGAATGCCACTGTTCAAAAGTTACTTCAGGCAAAAAAAAAAAAAACCAAATCAAAACCAAAAACCCCACTACAACCCCAAAAATCCTAGCTATGACTTTTGGTAAAGTATGAATTGGATTACTGAAGAGAGGAGATTTTCTGTTGCCCCCGAATAACCATTTCTCACCAGTCCAGCTAGAGTTCTCAAAGCAGATTATGAAGCAGTAAAGTTTTTTTTTAAAAAAATATTTCCTACTCCAGTAGTTTAAATATGGTCTCACCTTCTAGCAAACAATTAAATTTGTAAAATAAAATTCCAATTGTGAGTTGTTACAATGCAGTTGGAGGCTTTCTTTTGAAATACATAAACCTTGACCTAATTTTTGCTTGACCTGATAAATGACACTGCATTTTACAGCTGGTTTTAGTTTGTCTTTCATTAAGTTAAACATCAACAAAATCCACTTTCATCACTGAAGCATAAGAAAACAGCTGGCTTAGCAATTCTCTTTGTACAATCAGGCAAAATGAGTTTGCGTTTTAATTCGGTCACTTCATATTTATTTTTAGAAGGTTTCATATGTATAAACACATGCTTTTAGTATTGTTCTTACTAACCCTAGTTTTTGTTTATCAGTTATTGCATGAATTGCCCCCTGTGCACATCTTCTCAAACAATGTAGCCTCTCACAACAGCATTCTGAAGAGGGAGCTAGAGTATTACATACAGTGCTTTCTTTATCCAAAAGAATTCATACCGACTTGTACCTCTGAAACAAGACTTGTTCCAAAAAAGGAAAAAAAAATTAAAAAAAAAAGAAAAGAAAAAGATTAAAACAGTTACCTATCTATCTCTGGTCCTTTTTAAGTGCAGAGGCAGCCAAATTAAAACCATTAATGAACCTTCTATTGCTTTTACTCAATGAAACTAGTTCCTGATATAGTATGGCCTACTTGCAGGCATCGAAAACAATATTACTTTTAATTACAAGATTGAAATGACAGCTAGAATCTCTAGTATCATTTATAGATTTCAAAATAGGCAGAACACTTTTCATGTGTTCTACAGTTTTCACCAGTTTTGAAATTCAGTAAGTGGGTACTTTCAAATGGAAAAGCTGCTTGGAGAATCTGAATACTTACAAAAACATAAAATTAAATACACAGATACCAAATACTACTCTCACTTTGTATCAGACTTCACATTCTATCGGGAAAACATTCATCACCAACTGAAGTTACAGAAAAGCTATTTAAAACATGGTGCTAGCAGGGCAACAACATTAGGGAATGACGGAAGAGAAAAGTTAAGAATCTACAATACATGAAAAAAACCCACATGCTTCCAAAAAAAACGAGTTAATGGGACAACACACAAAACAACGAGAAACTAGGAACACTCAGAAGTAGTGACTCAGTGTAAGGGAAATATCTGCTGAACTGATCATTACTGCTAGGGAATGGGGACGGGGATTTTCTAAAATCCAGTATTTACAGCCAGATGGTTATTGGAAGGCGTACAGCTCTGCTACCCTGTCTCCCTTCGGTACGGTTTTCAGACCTTAAGAGAAACAAGAGGTAGAAGCCAGATATTTTTTTCAAACCTAATTTGTATATTGAACTGTGTTTGATCATCATTTGTTACTGAACTCAAACGGATTATCAGTTCAAATTCCAGCCACCTATCCGCTCAAAGTCATTACTATAGCTCCAATGAAACATCAACAGCATCTTCAAACAAGCAAAATAACGATACAGCTCCACTATTTCAGGTAAGAAGGGAAATACATCATTGTTATTGCACCTGTTACGAGGAGAGAGCAAGTGTCGAAGAAACAAACACATCTACCTGTAGGTGCTTCTAGTTAGTTAGTTAGTTATTAAACTTCTTAACAAGCTCTTATTTCACTTAGAAGTGCACTCCATAAATTCAGTCTAGGACACTGTCTTGTCACTGTTCTAGTTGAAGGTAACCGCTTGAAATGTTATGACAGCGGGATTGGGAATTCTCCGACACGCCCTTGAGGAGGAGTATGAGGGTGAAAGAACTGGAAAGCACATTAATCTGACGTATAATCAGAAGCAAGGAGGGAAAATTTTCAAGTCCAAAGACTCTTAAACAGACAAGCATCTCTTACGCCCTACACTTCAACAGGATAAACTGCAAGACACTTCTCAAACTTGAAATCAAACGCTTCGGTTCTCACGTAAAACTGAAAACAATGTCTTACCTTGACCCGAATTATATATTGCTTTCACAGATTTTTTCACCTTCTGTAGTGCAGTTCTGTCTTGATCCAATGCCTACAATAACAAGAAATAAACAAACTTTAAATATTTACTTCATTGATCAACAGAATACGCTGTAACATTTAAAAAAGACACCCACAAAATAAGTAGTTTCACAGGCTGGAAAAAACTGCAGATACAACATATTCAGCCTGCAGGAAGGTCTCAGGTCATTCAACCCCTTCAAGATGAATTATACAACTGAACTGAAAAATGCTCTGAAGGCAGAGTGCTAGTGACAGTGTTAAAAGAAAAACACTTTTGTGAGGGACAAAGCATTTATTCAAATTGTAATGTATTTTGAAAAAAAAAAAAACAACAAAACCACAAAACCAAAAAACCCAAGAAATAGATAGTAGATGCTTCTACTATAGCCCTGTAGCTTCTACCACAACTAAACTGCTTGTTAACCCCTACCGTTTTCCCACAGGAATAGTCTTCCAACTATAGACGCAGATTATCACGCTAATCTCTTGCGCCAAACTCCACAACAAAAGATGCAAAGTGGCAAATCAAAAGAAAGGGGCTAAGATCTGATTTTGTGCAACATAATGCGACTGAAAGAAAACATTCGTAACAACACTGAAATATGCATTTGCAGGATGACATCTCTCTGAATTTCAAATTTTCTGCAACAGTTTCAAAATCCAGAAGAAAATGTTATTAAGAAATGATGAATTTAAGATTAGATTTCTAGGTACTTTTCCAAGCAACATAACCTCTCCCTACGCACTCACAATCTGATGTAAGAAATCAAATTAACATGAGAACGAACTATTATGATAAAGCAAAAAATAAAATCACAGTAAACGTTAGTCTAGACTTGTGGAATTAAGAAACTTAAAAGCCACGTACTAGTACTGTGCACAGTGATCCAGTCAATTGCACTTAAGCGTGAGTTTTGGCTATTCTGCATACTTGGTATGTTGTACACGGTTCTCTGCTATCCTTGGAGAACATACACAGAAATGTTTAAATAATTGGCTATACTTTTTTGCCATTTAGATCATAGGCAATTTCCCGATCAAATAAGTAATGTTGGATCAATAATCTCAAGGTTTAATGAAGGTGGCAGTGTTTGACATATTATATTCACATTTAAATCACTGAAGACTGGAGAACTCGTACTCAGAATTACTGCCAGGACAGCAGCCCAGCTGAGCCTGTTAGCTACCGCAGACCACAAAGCTCGTGTTGCAGAGACCCTTGGGTAGTCAGGTTATCCAAACAGCTCAAAGCTCGGCGCTCCTGGGGGTCTGCTATCTGAAGACTGGCAGACCAAGGCAAAACGGCAGCAGCTCCTACAGCAGCGTGTACCTCATCGGAGAGGGTCATCACCAGCAACACTGCGAGTGAAAACTTAACCCATAAGCGGAACTTACACTGTCAAAGCTGAGATGATTGAAGGATATTGCACTGGGAGCTAAGAAGCTCAAAAAAAAAATCACAGCAGGAGCTTCAGGTCAACTAGAGGGCTAAGGACTAGAGATGGTCATACATGAGGGTACCGCTCCTAGGTAAAAGTCCAAAATACTGAGTATTTCAGTGTATGCACGCTTACAGTAGGAACCCAGAGAGAGAGAAAGCAATTCATATATAATAGTTCTATTTTGGAGCAGCCCCATTTTAACCAAGCAAAATATTAGAGTTGAACAATATATGAAGGTCTGTAACAAAAGAAACTGTAGTGTTTCAGTTCTGTAACTGAAAATCTCCATATTCTCAAATGACACTTCTGGGGTAGCTAAAATTAGAAAGTTTGGAACCACAGAATTTATATAAGTGGTTTCTAATACTTTTTATCTCTACTTTTTCATTTGCAGCAGGACAATGGATTCAAATATTCAGAACTGCAAATACCATTATTTCTTTTGCTCCCCAGTAAAATAGTGGACTCTACTTGACTTTCACCTTGACAGTTAAAATTTTTAACTTTAATAAAAGATTAAGAACTCTGTGTTCCTTTTCAAGACAGTGCACAGCAGGCGATTCTCCTTAGACTCCTTTGCAAAACCTGTCAGAAGATTTTGCCTCTGCCTGCATGCTATGCCAGACAGTTTTTCTCATACATTTCTACTAAAGTTCTCTACATCTTCAATGACCAGAAAAATATAATGATTCACTTGTCTATGGAGAGTTTGAACACAGGATAGTATAAGAATTTGAAACCAGTATTTCAGAAAAAAAGACAACAGTTAATGCTGATGAGATTCAGAGATAAAACTTTGTACTAAATTCTAATATTGAAGCAAACTGAACACTCAGGAGGAGAAAACAAATACAAGAACTCCAAGAAACGTGGTACTTGATCCTAAAGGTATCAATGTAGAAGATTAGAACAAATAGACTAGAAAAATCTTCCAAATTGGATCTGATTAGATTAGAAATAAATTTAATCACTAACACGGGAACAGGAGGGAAGGGAACATTCATTATTTCAAGAGAGCAATCACTGAGAAAAGCAATATACAGAAACGACATCCACTGCCTGAAGGAGACAGTGATCTAAGCCAGAATGACATCACAGGTCAATTCTGTATTTTTGTATTTGCAAATAGAATCTTTAAAGGAACTAGTTGTTCTTAGTCCAAAACTCCCTAAATAAAGCAAATCCCCCCACACTTATAACCATATACCAGGGCAGCGTGCAAAATGCCTACCGCCGCAGGAACCCAACCCTACGTAGGATTCTAGGTACACAAACAACTGTTATCTAGGGGGTTTGCGGTGCTTTTGGGTGGGGGTTTGGGGTTTTTTTTGTTCATTTTATATAACCGTAGGTAGCTTGTTTCCAAAAATATTATATTCTCATGAATGTCTTTTGCTAATAATTTTTAGCTGCACTCTGCTGCAAAGGAAGCAAGCTGCACTCCATGCTGAAGTCAATTATTATTCCAGACTAATGTTACCACTGAAGCATGCTAAATCCGAGGGGAACAGCCTTGCTTTCCCCAGTTAGGTGAAAGCATACTTTTGCAGTTTCTGTTAATTTTACTTTCCAGCATTTCCAAATGAAAATACTAAGTACTTTCACTCCCCATCTTTGAAAACACAAAATCTGATCTCCCAGTAAAACTGACATACATTTATATCACTGAAAACTGCAATGCCTTAGAGAACCAAGGACTGATTCTCTGTGACAATTTCCAGGTATTCAGATGTATTCCTTCCTACCGTCCTAGATACTAAACTCTGCCTCATCACCATCCATTCCTGCAAGATGCTTTTTACTCATTTCTGTGATACAGCCTCCCAGGAGTCTTTTTTAACTTCCCTGGGAGAATATTTTCTTATCATTTATGCATTCTGGAAAGACCAGATATTTTACTAAAGGTACCTGCAACACAGATTTGCTACCTCCTTGGCTGAACAAAGATTTACTCTTAAAAACGGTCATGCAGAATTAGCGTTCACAAAAACCCCTGATACAGATTTGTGAAGAAATGAAGGAAAAAAAAAAAAAGACCATATTTAATCTGCTTATGTGAAATTAAACAAGGAAAGCTCCTTGCTCCTCATACTCAGCAGATCTGCCATGTAAGATCTCTGACATATGTCCTGTCAAGGCTTCATATTCCTGCATTCCCTTATATTGAAGCTTATGCTCAGAAAGAAAACTCCTGGTCCCGCAAGATCAGCTCTTCTAACCCCTCAGTTCAGAATCGCTCAGACAGTCACCCCAGATTTAATTTCTCTTTTCTGCTAAAATTTAGCTACTTTGAACCTAGGCTGCAGTTTCAAACCACTAACATAGTTCAAATCTCTCCTACTGAAGCAAGCAGTGTCTCTCCTTCCTTCAAACCGGAGCACTCATGTTGGCTACACGGTGATCCAGTTCAGGACCTGCTGTGGTGACCTCAGCTCCATGAGAACCACGGGGCTCCTTTTGAGCACGGCAGATTTAGCTCACCTTCCAGCAGTGTGTTGCACATTGATAGAAATCTGTACTTACAGCTACCATTTCACATTCTGAGGCAAGATGTCTCGCAGCACCCTCCCTCTTTAAGTTGTACATTTACTGGTAGCTATTCATACCAATATAAAAGTTGGAAAACTTGTCCACCTGAGGAAACAAAATCAAATTAATTTTGGGGTGGAGGGAAGGGTGGATCCCTTCACTGATGTAGATCACTGCGTAGCTGCACATGTGCTTTTACCAGAATGACACAGCACACACAAGTCAGTACCAGGTCAGAGAAGGCGTGTGTCAACACCCCATAACCCACACCCCAGCCCAGCTCTGCCAGACACAGACAGACACTGCTTGTGCCTCTCTTCAACCCTCCAGAACCTGATCTCTTCTCAGTAAAGGGTATTTCTATTTTTGGGCCATGCTCTATTCTAATAGCTACTAAATTTTAAACCAGAAATTATACTACTGTGCAGTGCGTAACGTGCTAGATCCTGGATTGCTGTCTATCCTTGATGTACCAAAACCTGCCAAACTCATGTTTAGAGAGACCACTTATTGTTTCTTTAGAACCTCGTGTCTTTTTATTCTGTATAGATATTGTCTACACTTAGCCTGCACCCAGGGCTCAACCATAACACTTGCTCTATCGCCCTGCCAGTCACCACTGTGAAGTCTGTTTCCAATTGTTGGTCCCAGCACACGCCTACATGACAAAAATAAGGGAGTGGTTAAGAATTTTCTAGAGACACTTAATCACTTTATATAAAGATGGATATAGACAGGCACAGTTAAAACCTGTCATGAAGTACATAAAAACCCAAAGGGTCCAAGTGAGAAAAGAAACAAAACAATCCACATCAAAAAGCACTTATCACTGTAGTAACTGCCGCCAACATCATTTAGTACACCACCATTTACCAGCTACTCCCAAAAATCAGCCAAATTAAAAGATAATATTCTTTTAAAAAAAGCTTTATTTCCCTGAAAACGGTAAATCTCAAGAGTTTAACCATAAGCTAATGATAAGAGAATCAGTAATCCAATTTAGGAAATACATTTTTCCAGAAAATAATTTTTTCGGGTAATGCCAAAGCTTAACAGA